TGTGAGCTGGGTCAATGGTTCAGTGGGTAAAAGCACTTGTTGCAAGAACATGAGGGCCTGAGCTGGAATCCCCAAAACCCAGGTAAAATCCAGACACAGTATGAGCATCTCTAATTGCAGAGTTCCTATGGGAAATGGGAGGCAAAGAAAGGAAAATCCATGAAAATTTGTGACACAGCTAGCCTGGCACACACATGGAAACAACAAAGAAAACATCTCAAACAAGGTGGAAGGCAAGAATGCCACCTGGGCTTGTCCTCTAACCTCCACACAAATGCTGTGGCATGCGCATGCATGCATGTGTAACACAGACAGACAGACGGACGGACGGACGGACAGACAGACAGACGGAAAAAATCCCATGACTGAATGTATTTTATATGTAAAAGGACCCCCCTTAAAGCCCCTAAAAATCATAAATGTAGGCATCTGAAAACCATCAAGTCTCACAATACCTTTCAAAGCATTTTACAAGATCCTTAACCACAACCCAAACACTTTCACAATTTGTAAACAGACTATATAAAAATTGTAATTGCATGCTAAGGCAGATAAAAAAAAAGGTATCATTACTTATAACTTCAGAGTTCTACTCTTGAATTTATACTTTCATTGATCTCACTGGTTTTACAAATAAACTAAAAAACTTAAATTAACTAAATTATACATAATACAATGAATGTTGCCTTACCAAAACTTTTTCTAAGCAGGATGGGTAATACAATTAAATGTCCACAATTTAATGCATGTTCTTTTGAAAAACATACAAGGTTTCAAATAAACTATTCATGGCCAATGCTTCATAGCTTACAACTATCACACCATTTCAATGGGCCAGAAACTGGACTGTGAAAGAGACAGGAGGGTTTCCTGGAACTGTGTCGTCCAGCCCAGACCTCCAGGTCAAGTTCCACGTGAACTGCTCCATGCCACCTGCTCCACTATGCATCCCTGTAAGATAGATGACTAGTGCTCTATCTTTCCAGCTTCCAACCCTCTGAGGCACCTGGAGGCAGGGAATAGGGAAACAGAAAGCCAGGGCTTTCCTGGGCAATTTTAATCCCACTCTAGTATTAGTGGAGCAAAGGGCAAAAAGGGGAAAACCACTCTGAGTCAACAAAACAGGTTATGTTCTCTACCAACTGACCTGTAATTTTAAGCCTGTAAAATCTTAAGATATTTATTTTATTAATAACTTACTTGCAATAGTGAATGTGGTTAAATACATTTTGTATCACATTTTAATTAACTGTTTAAGCTGGTCTTAGATTACCCACAAAACTCATGAACTCATATAGCTTAGATTACCATTCCAATTCTCACCTCCCATCTTTTACAGTACATAACTAAGGTGACTGAATTTTAATTTAAAATTTATGGTTTAAACATATTTAAGAAATAACTAATAATGTGACTAAATTTCTCTACCTCTACTAAAAAGTTTTAAAATATACAACATCAAACTACTATGTAAGAAGCCACAGTTTTTTAATCAGTAACAATTCATACAAACAAATCTACACTTTAAAAAAGCACACTTGTCACAGGGCAAGGAGAATCAAGCTGATACTGACCAGGAAGCTTTTCTTCCTGCTGGCTAGCTTTCACAGTACAGAAAGGTGCTATTGTGGGTTGCTAGGGGAAGGCATCAACAGTCTTGGCCAGTTGTATATCCTATGAACTATAATAATGACAGTGCAAGATATCACACACACACACACACACACACACACACACACACACCTGGTACTGTAAATGTGGCCAATACCTATGCCTGGGAAGCTCAGAGGCTTCACAGATGAACCTACTACTATTTTTCCACTACATGGACAAAACATCAAACTGCCCTATAAATTTCTATCTCTACACCCATAGGTCAATGCCACTCAACTCTCACCAGAGACTTTTTCTGTACAGGAGACATTGGTTAACAAAGAAACTTACAACTGATCAGTGTAGAGATAAGTGCAGCCAGTCATAAAAGGAACATCAGTATCACACTCACCCCAAGCTGTCTCAGGGACCACTGTGGAAGAGGGAGTGGGATACTTTAAGAGCCAGAGGTTGGAAAGGACTGGATTCAAAGTGTCTTCTAAACATGACAGGACCACTACACTCATGAACTCACATAGTTTAAATACCCACACTGGGCCTGTACAATATCAACGCAGTTAACATTCTAGCATGTATGGGAAGGGGTTCACAAGTTCCCACCCCTATTGAGGAGCTACTGACTGACGGCTTCTAGAAAAGAGTGCCAATCTTCTTCAAGAATGTGGCCTCTAGTGGGTCAAGCAGTTTAAGTGGATGGCCCACACTCATGAGTATATGAGCAGCACATGCTAGAATCAGTGTTGGTTTTGTTTTAAGAGGACAAAGCTGGAAGCCAGTGGGGGGGGGAGGTTGTTCTGGGAGGATTTGGGGAGGAGAGGTGAGTATGATCAAAATACATTTATTCTCAAGGAATAAAAACATCATTTTAAAAAAGCATGGTAAATCAAATAAGCTTTCCTTAATCTTAACAGTTAAACCAAGGTAATCTTTAATTGAGTAAAAGAGTATATTTCAATAATGAAAAAGATCTATAACAGAAAATTTCCAAAAGAGACTAGAAGTCGAACGGAAAAGAAGGGAAGGTGCCCACCAGGATAAAGCCCCGCATGGATCACTTGTAACTGGTATCTGCTACTTCAAGAGTTCCACATCTAGCCCACCTCACTCTAATAGCAATGGAGCCTTGGACGTACGCACTGATTACCCAGTAGGTAATCCTGCCTCTATTCCAGAGAGCCTCACCGAAACAGTAGCTTCAGGTACAGTAAGAGACTCAATAACTACAGTGGAGAAGGGATCAAGAAAGACATTCCAACATCAGCCTCTGGCCTCCATGTGATAAGCTCGCATGTAGTACTTAAAAATTTAAGCTGCCCAATTGGGTGTGCAACAAACTTCTACAATGCTAGCATCCTGGGGGCTGAAGCAGGAAGATCTCACGTTCAAGGCTATCCCGGGAGACAGAGAGAAACTATGGGCAAGGGATGTAGCTCGGTGGTAGAGTTTTTGCTCACATGTGCAGGTCCTGTATTTGTTCAATCCTCGAACATTAAAAAAAAAAACACAAGCAACACAAGTGAAAACTGTAAAGATAAACAAAACTAAGGTGCCTTCTGGGTGGTCTTCCGTCCTTCTGCGTCATACTCATGCAGTCTCAAGTCCTACACAGCATGCTGTGGGCTCTCTCTACCTTCAGAATCACCCCAGTCACTTGCCCCTCAGCTCATACTCCACAGACAACTACTCACTGGGAATGAGCAACCCTTCACCAGTCCCTTGTCTCCAACTTCCAGTCTTCACAGTGCAACTCCCACAGGAATCAGTTTCTGCTGACTCATTTCTACTCTCCACCAGACTCCCTGGCACAAGGCTTCCCAGAGCTGCCTTCAGATGGTCCTGGGGTGTGTTTCTTTCCTAAGATGTACTATGCCTGAAGAATTACTAAAGTTTACCTCCCTCACCAGCAAGCAAACTATCCGATAGCAAATCTAGTCTATATGAGCCTAGCAGTGGACACTAAATATTTACAAAATGAATGTCACCAACCATGCAACAAAAAATTAACAAGAAAAGCTTAACTTAATCTTAGTTTCCCCTAAGCCCTGTGAGCTCCACTTCCAAAACACAGGCTAAGAGCAGTCATTCTGAGTGCCAGCACAGCCACGTCAGTCCAAGCCTGCTCACCCTGCACTAGACTGTCACAGCAGTACAGCTGATCTCCATGTCCATCCACCCTAACACTCCACACACCTGCGTGCGCCCACACAGCACCACCACCCCTTCTTCCCCTTGGCACCTGTCTGCTGACAAGGATAGCTTGGTAAAATACAGACCTTTCCTTCAAAATGCAGTTTTTAAAAAAAGTCCTTACTTGTTCCTTATGCTATTTAGTCATTCATTCAAACTCCCCCAGCTCCCTAATGCTGAGTTTTTTTCTCCCTGCCTCGGAATTTTTCCCCTGGCGACAAGACTGTCCCTGGAGACCAGCTCAAACCTTACCTCTCTAGACAAAGCAACTCTGTAACCTCCCACCTCACATGCTCCCACCCCACCCCTGCACTTGCCTTCTGAGTTCATTCCTTTCTCAAACTATGTTCACTTATTCAACAGGTCAATCTCCCTTAGGTACTGTCGACTTGCTCATCACTGCATCCCCACTTGTCTAAAAAGAATGCCTTACACACACCAAGCACCTCATCAGCCAGCATTTGTAAAGACAAAAGAACAAACCAAGAAAGGTAACTTAAGATTACATAAAACAAAGTAAAAATGGCTAGTCTATCAAACAAGGCAGAAAGAAGCTGCCAAGCAGAAAGTCTGGTCTTCCTGGAATCCATCATCTACAAGCACAGGCGAGGCCAGCCCTCACCTATGGCACTGCTGTCACTCAGAACACCTGTCTTTTGGACACACACATGCAGCTATGATGTGCACACAAAGCACCAGAACACATTTTCAAATGGCCTGCCACAACCCTCCTAACTGTGGTACTTACCTATAAAATAACTAAAATTCTACTCAAACGTTCAACCTCGTGAGAAACAGGTCCTTCCCATGCACAAGGCAGGCCTCTGAGACAAGGCCTCACCTACAGTCCTTTTTTAAGTGTGTGTTTCTTCAGGAGTCAGCTGTGCTTTTAACTACTCGCTGAGTGACCAAGGCTGGAGGAAACGTGTCAGCATAGTTTGGTGTATTTGTTTAACTTCCATTCAATGACTTTTTATTCACCTTTTAATCATACAGATGAAAACAGCATACAGCTTCAAGTAATGGAGATAAAACAATATGTCTCAGTGCTAATTGATTAAACCTTACTACTCAAGAAAGTAAACTGTAAAATAAACAGCTTTAACTAACAGAATAAAATAATTGTATTTTAATAATCACTATGTATAGATGACTTTCTGCAGGTCCCCTCACCAAGCCCAGCCCCTCGCCTCACTTACCTTGGGATGGTGACACATTTCGTATTGCAGTTCTGAGTGGTGATGGCTTTCTCAAGCTCATCTAACCGTCCCGTTTTCTTGAGCTTTTTCACCAGACTCTTCACCGCTTTCTCACACCACTTTTCTTCCTGACCATTCTGTTCTCCACCACCTGCTCCTCCAGACCCACTGGCTGATTTTTTCCATCCCAGAAGCCTCTTCACCACTGGCGGAGTGAATGGCAAGATGGACGACATTTTCTTACCAGTGGTACAATCCACACTCAGAAACAGCCTGGTAAATACACCTAGAAAAGACATTGAAGCATTAATTTTAAAGCTAACTTAAAAGTAGCAAGTTCAACATGCTATAGAAGCAACCCATAGCACACAAGAGAAATTCAAATTCTTCTATCTGAAGTTCTATACTCATGGAAATGCTGAACTGTGACAACAAATCCTTCTAAAATCAGGGTGATTCAAATCTTGGGCAAACATACTTTTACAAATAAAATCTGTATCAATACTCTGGACAATTTTGCTAAAGCCATTCTCTTTAGTCTTAATTTAACACTTAATGATTAAAACATTTTCACAAAGACCAATTTTTTTTTCATTTTTAGGACTTCACTCTACTCTCAAAAGATTTAGTAAAAATCAAGACTTGATGTACATATAGTTAAGTGGTAGAATACTTGCCTAATATGAACAGGTTCTGGACTCCATTCTCCTAACAATGTGGGGGGAAACACTTAAAAATAAAATATATACAAACCCACTGTTGACAATATTTTAACTTTTCATTAATAATAAAGAAAAATAAACACACATGAGGAGAAAAGGCTCCATTCAACCTCGTCAGCATTAATTCTATCTATTACTAACACCCGTTTTCACTATTATCTAGTGATGTACACGATAAAACTAAGCACAATTTCCTTCCTACATAAAAGTGCCAGTATTTTAACAGTAACCCTTCAAATATCAAGTTCAGGTATTAGCTACTGATTTCCCTTTACATCATGACTTGCTTTCCTTCTCTTACTATGAAAATCACTCTGCAATTACAATTAAATAATTATGTGTATATTATCTAACAAGATCAGCAATAAGTTCTTACTATGTAAGCATGTTTCTTTCTGTATACCTTTTGGTACTCACCAGAATTAACTTGTCTTTTCATCAGCTTATTTTCTACGCACTTTACCACCAAATTTTCCTACTTTATGCCTGTCCCTCAATTACATTTTCAATCATACACATCAAAAATAAAAATCAACTGACTTTTTTATTCCATACACTCACATTCTAGAGTGCTGTCTCCTCCCACTCTGAACTGAACTAACAATACCCTGACCTGCAGCACTACTAGGAACTCCCTTCACTTCTCTGTGAGCTAAAGTTGCTATTTTCCTAATACGATGTCTTATCTTTCTTACCTACTGCATCTATTGCTTCATGGGGCACGTCAATCCTCAGAATGAGATACAGATGTCCCTAAGACTCTGTTGTGCCGGGCAGTGGTGGCACACACCTTTAATCCCAGCACTCGGGAGGCAGAGGCAGGCAGATCTCTGTGAGTTCGAGGCCGAGCTAGACCGACAGCCTCCAAAACAATACAGAGAAACCCTGTCTCATAAAACCAAAACAAAAAAAAAAACTGTTGTACACATTTTGTGTACAATATTATTTATTTTTAGTTTTATTTATACTTCTCCCACTTGTTGCATGATTAAGATATGGTACTACCTTATTTTCCTTAAACAAAAAAGGCAAATCTCTGATAGTTGTTTTAACTCTGTAATTAGTGCCCATAAGAAAAGAACAGAGATCCTCCTCTTGATCCTTATCAAAGCCTGCAATCATCTATTTACCCATCATTTGCCTGGCTGGTTCAAAGGAAAATTTCATCTTATGGTTGTTTTGAGTCCAGGTGCAAAACAGACAAAGCAATTCATTTGGAACGCTTGTCTCCTGAGTCATTTTAAATGTAGAACAGTTCTTTTGTTTTTTTCATAAAATAGATTCAGGAAATAACATCTATGTGAATTTACATTCTTTAATTGTTTTCCTTTATAGTGTCACTAATTTATTCTTCTATCCATACAACGGGAGGTTAGCTATATATACTTTATAGTTCAACCTACAACAATAGATACTGTGAGGTTTGTACCATATTACTTATCTATAAGCTAACAATGGTCTACCTGCTATAACAGCTAGTGACAAACTGCACCAATTTCAGGCTAAGAATTTCTATTATCCTTCCATGCAATATGATCACCCTTTAATGACCAGTGGCATGATCTATTTATTAGGGTTGCTTTCTCAGTCTATTTCATCCATTATTTATTAGCTACAATTCTTTAAAAGGAACTTTTCCTCATCAGCTAGGGCTGTGTGTTTATCCTAAAACACATTTACTTTAAGCTCAATTGGGTTAAATGCTTAAGTATTTCATTTTAGCGTCTATTATTTCTATTAGTTTCCTGGGCCTGCGGTCAGGCATTACCACAAACGTATTTAAGAGCACCTGTCACTGAACTTGGTGTCCATCAAGAACATTCAGAACAATCTCATCTCCAGATCCACAAGTGCATCTTATAAACCCTTTACACAAATGAAGTCACCTTCACAGGTCCTGGCCAGGGGTGGTTAGAGTGTGATCCAGTTAGTGCACTATAACTGATTTACTCTCATGGCACTTTCTCTAACACTGGACATTTTGGTTTTGAATATACAGTCACTTGTATTATCTTACTATATATAAAAGTTTGAAATAACACCATTGTAATTTCTAAAACTAAGATTATCAGACAAAGTTTAAGATTTATGTGCAGCTCTATCTACTATGGAAAATCAGCAAACTGCCTTAGAAAGTCACCTGAAATAACCCCTTTCTCCAGAGGTGCTAGCAACAAGAGATAGTTAGATCCATTTTTTTTGTGCCTTCCACTTCTAAAGGATTATTCTTTTCCTTAAATTTTATACTCATTGTGTAAATGTTTATATAATTCCAAAGTCACATGACATAACAAGTATCTGACTACCCTATTAGCTTCTTGTCATAGATACCATTCCTCTAGTTTGTTCTAGTCTGGTGTTTTACAACCATAAACACAAACGCACAGCTCTACTCAACTCTCACCAAATCATTCCTGTATTATGTACGTACTACTCTGTAAACAGATTTCCGCACCAACTTTATTTCCTGAAGTCATTCTTTATCAGTTCACACTGTGAACCTGAAGGCAGGCCAAATTAAGAGTATCCAAACTGAACCACAAAGGCGTGTGCAGGGTGGGGATCCCAGAACATCCAGAAAGAAACATTAATTATGCTTATTTAATGTCTAGTCTTCTCAATTTGAAATGTCTCAGCATGCTGCCCTGGAGCCAAGGGTAGTTCAGTGGGTAGAGCACTTAAACCATAGGTGAAGCGTTTCAATTACCAGCAGTGCAAGGGTGAAAATATTAAAAACTCTCATGGAAACAAAGACATAGAATAATCAAATTAAATTTTGAGAATGAAAAATGACCTACATTGCCTCATTTCAACACTTTTAAAAAAGGCAAAATTAAAGAACATAAACAGCCTTAGTAATTACAGAGTAGGCACAGTGGTTTATAACTCTAGTATAAGGATGTCAATCAGAGTCTACAGATTTACAGCCTACTTTCCACTAAGGCACCAAGTTAGTCTACTTTTCAACAACTTTCTAATACGTAAAGCAAAAGTATCTATTACTTCCTCAATATCATCCTTCATGGCTAGGCAGAATCTTTAGCTCTTGGAGAAGAAGAGTATTTTCCATGATCTTAAAAACTTAAAAAACACCAACCATTAATTCCTATAAAGTAAACAAAGTAATCAAAGTTAAAGAATATTTATACAAAAATTCCACTGAAAAGCAGGCAAATCACAGCCTAGGGCAAGTTTTACAATACATACGTCTGACAAAGGACTATAATTTAGAATGTATAAAACTAATAATCAAAGAAAATAGTTTGTTAAATTTTTTAAGAGAGGAACAAATTACAAACATTTAATCAAAGAGAGTAAAAGACCATATTGGGGGTATTTAATATTACCACTGTCAGAAAAATGCATATTAAAACCAAAATGCAATTCTATTTCATATCACTTAGGACAGATCTAAATTTTTCTGACAGTGCCAAGTGTTGGTGAGAACACAGACTACCATAGTATCCTATTGGTGCTCTGACAAATTCTCATGCACTCACTGCCTTAGGACAGCGCAGACTAAATCAAGGTGTCAGCAAGGCTGGCTCCTTCTCTAGTTCTCAAACAAGTCCATTTCCTAGCCTTTCAGCTGCCTGCCTTTTTGTCACTAACTCTCCCATACATGTCTAATAAAGAAACTTGTGATTATATTTAGTGTTTATCTAGATTATTATGCCTATAGAGCCCCCCTTGCCATATAAAGTAACATTTCCAGGTTCTGGTGACTGCAACCTCTCTGTGGGAGCATCTGGCCAACTGAACACCCTTGCGCTGCTGATCAAAGTAAAAATGGCACAATGCCTTCCTAAAGAGTTAGGCATACATTTCGCCACAAAACCACTCAATGTACACTCAGAAACATAGGCAAGAAAAAGGAAAATGGAGGTCTATGACCTGAGTCTAGCCCCAGACCCCACTCCGTGTAAAGAAAGTCACTCCTGCAAGTTGTCCTCTTACAAGCACTCCACAGCATGTGTGCCCTGCTCCAAAGTAAATAAATGTAAGACAAATTCTTAGAAAGAAATATGAAACCATGCTCATTTTTTAAAAATGGGCTCTGTGCCATCTGAGTTTGGCGATACATGCTTGTAATCTGAACCCTTCGGTGGCTGAGGCAGGAGGATTACAATTTCAAGGCTAGCTTGGCAAAACTCACTGGTGGACAGACGGGGAGGGGGGAGAGCTGTGTTAAGAATGCTCATAATAAGCCAGGTGGTGGTGTTGCACGTCTTTGTCCCAGCACTCAGGAGGCAGAGTCAGGTAGATTTACAAAGAGAGTTCTAGGGCAGCTAGGTATATACAGAGAAATCCTGTCTCAAAGGTTAACAGCACTTAGTCCTCTCAGAGGACTCAAGTTCAGCACCCAGCCCCTGTATCAGGTAGCTCACAACCACCAGTTCCAGGGGATCTGATGCCCTCTGGCCTCCATGAATACCTGCAAGCACATGGTGCACATAAACTCACACAGGCACATATATGTGGACACAAAAAAATAATAATCACAGCCATAACTCACTATAGGCATGAACTGGGAACTATCAAAACTATTTTAACATTTTGAAAC